GTGGGCCTGGCTACGTGACGAGATGGGAGTGCGGTGGGTGGGGTGGAGAAGCCGGTAAGTCCCAGCGCCAGCGAGGGGTGCTGGATCAGGGGGCGACGATAGGCCGACTGGCAGAGCCTTCGAAATGAAGGGGGTGCGGTGGGGTGGGGGGCAAGACATGCTGACAGTCCTTCCCCCGGCAGCCAACGGGGAAACTGGGCCTAGAAAGGGGATAGGCCTTACCCATATGCCACAGCGCAGAAACGAGACTAGAACCCAAGGTGCCCCCTTCCCACCAGGCCTCGCCTCAGCCTTGGTAGGACCACCTGGCCCTGAGAATCTTCCTGTTCCTGAGCTGAAGTCCTCCATTGCCCTCAGGCAGGCTTTCCCAGGAGGAGCTGGCTCTTCCAGTGAATGCTGGACAGACACCCGGACCATGCCCGCTTCTCACTCCACAGCAACTCCCAGGTCATCTTCCGCTTGGCCTTCACCTTCTGTGGATCTGTCTCATCCTGAGGCTGTGACAGATGCCATCATTATTTCCATTTTACAGAAGAAACAGGCTTAGAGAAGCTGGGAGATTTGCCTAGGGCCGCCGAGAAGGCCGAGCCTGGGTATATGAGCACCCAGACCAAGCCCTCCCAGGTGGAAGTACTAGAGGGAGAAGGGGGGTCGCAGGGGATGTCATGTCCCTGGAGGCCCCATGTGCACCCACACAAGGGCCTCAGAGAGGCCCCTACGCAAGAGACTTAGAGGATGCCAATGCCCTGCCTACATCACACAGACCAGGTAGAGGTGATGCTGGGAGGTAGTAAGAGGTTAGAGGTCAGTGTGGGAGCTGGAGTTGGGGAGGAAGGCAGATGTGGACCCCAAATGTCAGCTCAAGAGAAAGCAGACAAATCCCACCCTGGAGAGAATTCTGGCCCCACGATGGGGCTTACTCAGTCCCTTAGCCTGGTATCTGGTATTTTCTCCAGGCTAATTTCAGCCAAAAATAGAATTCCACCCCCTATCTCCTAAAATACGCAAATGTTTTACCAAATCAAAGCACCTGGCTCATTTCTGTGTCCCCCTATGTTTATTTTTTCACCCTCTGGTGTCCCCATCTTCACAATGGAGTTTGGACACGGATCTGACTGAAAAAGTCCTGGGTAACAGTGGATCTGATTAAAAGGCAACAGTGCAGTAATGTCTGGGCTGGATGAAGCTCAATGCTGCCCCCTGGTGCCCAGACTGTTACAGCCAGTAAGTCGCAGGGAAAGGAGGCAGGAGGCACTTGAGGTAAAAAAATAAATAAAACCTCTCTGCCCAGCTCCCCGCTACCCCACCATCTCTGAACCTTTTAGACCTCCCTCTAAAGGGGAGGAAGAACAGAGCAGGAGCCCTGCTCACTGAGTGAGGGTAAGCCCCCAGGCTCCTCCAGCAGAGGTCTCAGACTGTGGTAAAGCCTGGAGAGGGATGGAGGCCATAGTGACAGCAGCAGTAGCTCAGTCCACCCTGCACCTGGACACCCCAGATGGTTTCTTCTATTTTAAGTGGAGTCAGGGCTGCCCTTCTAGTGTGACTCCTGGGGTCTTCAACTCAGTTAATTAAGCTCAGGCCTTTTTCTGCCTGAAATTCCACCATTTGTGTTCAGAGGAGGTCTTCAACAAATGTAGGATGGATGGATGGACTCAATCCCTTTGCACTGAGATATTATCTCCAGAAGGATTGTGCTGTCAAGCATAAGGGAGAATGAGTTCACTGGTTTTCCTAGTTGACTGGAAGTGGGACTACGAAGAGGAATGGGATAGGCCAGGGGTGGGCAAACTTTTTGACTCGAGGGCCACAATGGGTTCTTAAACTGGACCGGAGGGCCGGAACAAAAGCATGGATGGAGTGTTTGTGTGAACTAATATAAATTCAAAGTAAACATCATTACATAAAAGGGTACGGTCTTTTTTTTTTTTAGTTTTATTCATTTCAAAAGGGCCGGATCCGGCCCGCGGGCCGTAGTTTGCCCACGACTGGAATAGGCCCTATCCCATTGCCCAGTGGTCGGCAAACTTCGGCTCGGCAAACCGCGGCTCACGAGCCACATGTGGCTCTTTGGCCCCTTGAGTGTGGCTCTTCCACAAAATACCACGTGTGGGTGCGCACATTCAGTGCGATTGAAACTTCGTGGCCCATGCGCAGAAGTCAGTATTTTGTGGAAGAGCCACACTCAAGGGGCCAAAGAGCTGCGTGTGGCTCGCAAGCCGAGGTTTGCCGACATGGAGATAGGGGAAGGGGAAGTTGTGTGTGTGTGTTTGTTTTCGTTTTGTCCATATACACTGAGTGGCCAGATTATTATGACCACCTGATGTTTGTAGGAAAATTAGCTATAATTTCGTGCTGAAGTTGCTAGAGGGACAGACCATTATAAACATCTGAATAGCACAACATACCTAAGTATCATTGCTGATCAAATTCATCCTATCATGTTGATGGCTTACACCAATGGAGATGGCTTCTTCCAACAAGACAATGCGCCATGC